CCAGGATGTGTAAGGGCAATTTGACAAGAATGATGGAGTGCTGCACCAGATGGCCTGGTCTCCACAGTCACCTGACCTAAACCCAATCCAGATGGTTTGGGATGAGATGGAGCGCAGAGTGAAGGCAAAAGGGCCAACAAGCACTCAGCATCTCTGGGAACTCCTTCAAGACTGTTGGAAGACCATTTCAGGTGACGACCTCATGAAGCTCATAGAGAGAATGCCAAGAGTGTGCAAAGCACAAAGATTAAAATAAATTATAAAACAAGCTTTGAGTAATTTCACACTTTTTTGTTTACTACATAATTTCACGTGTTCATTCATAGTTTTCATGCCTTCAGTGAGAATCTGCAATGTAAATAGTCATGAAAATAAAGAAAAACATTAAATGAGAACGTGTGTTCAAACTTTTGAGTGGTCGTATATACATCTGTTTTTACTTTTTTATTTCCTCCTTTGTAGGCCACTGTTTTCAGGTGACCCTCCTGTGAAAAATGACAAAAACAAAATAAGTGAAATTCACACTGGAAACTGCTGGAACATTGATCAAATAAGTTCAGATTTTCTTTTTGACAAACCTTTATAAGCTTTCCCAGCGGCGTCCCCCCACATCGAATGCTCAGCTTCCAGTTCTTGCAGCTCTGCTTTCCTGCAAACCTCTCAAACTCACCTGGAGCAAACCACTGCTTATTAGCCAGAATGCACTTCTCTCCTAAGAGATGCAGAGGAGGAGGAATTCAAAGAAATGTTTTACACACGCAGAGTTTAAATCTCAGTCATAAATGATCTCTTGTTATCTCCCAACTGCCGCTTTTTCTAGCTTGTACATTTTTCTATTATTTCACAGCTGTTGAACAAAGAACATGCAGCTGCAGTAGACTGCAATGCAACAATGAAAAGACTTTGCTTATCTGACCTTTAGCCAGTTTGTCACGTTGTAGCGTTCCCGACATCTGTCCGCACGTCACAGGCAGCTGGGACTTGTAGAGGGGCCAGGTCCAAATTTCACCCTTCTCTCCCTTCTTCATGGGAGGAGCTGAGAAATACAAAATGTTATAAATGCCGATTCAAACATGCTGCAGTGTAGTCAATATACATGTTGTGGCTTTGGAAAAGACATGACCACATTCCCTCAGACATCTTGCAGTGAACGCTGCAGGTGTAGAAGCAAGAAGGGCTGTGGCTATGCTCCAGTTTTATAGAACTGAGTGAGGCCTGTATCCATCTTGGCAGGGAGTCAAACATGTTCCGGTTCATACTGACCACTTGGGAGGTACCTTTCCACGGATTCAGGAGAATGATTGGAAGAACCAGAGTTCCTTTTTTGAAGTTGGTCAACTGAAGGTTAATGTAGAGCTTGATTATTGTGGTATTCTCCACCTGCTATAACACTATTTACTCAGATGGAGTAGAGGAGCTGTAATGGTGTAACTTTGTACAAAACATCAGAGAAGAGACAATTCCACTTCCAACATAAAGAGAAAGTAATGAACATATGACAACTCTATGCAGTCCTGTGAATAACTCGAGCCCACAGTTCATTGAGGTTTGCGGACATTTGTTTATGCACAGCTGTCTTAATTTCCCACCACACCAACATTTCAATCACGTTGAGGTCTGGACTTTGACCAGTCCGTCGCAACACCTTCATGCTCTGCTAGTTTAGCCATTCTGTTGTATATTTGCTGCTGTGGTTGGGATCATTGTCATATTGCATGACCCAGTTTCAGCCAAGCTTTAACTGTCAGACAGATGGTCTCACATTTGACTCGAGGACACTTTGGTGTACGAAGGAGTTCATGGTCGACTCAATAATGGCAAAGTCCAGGCCCACCAAATGATCATCCCTTCACCACATACCAACTGTGATTGACAGCTGAGGTGAGTTTTGGTTTTCTCTAAATGTGCATTATGGTCAAACATCTCCATTTGGTCTGATTTGTCCAAATGACATTGTTCCAGAAGTCATGTATTTGTAACCTTTCGAACCTAAGTCATGTTGCCATGTTCTTTTTCAAGAGAAGAGGCTTTGTTTTTGGTTGGGTCTAGCCTGGGGTAGAACCAGGGTACTTTACCCCAGTGAGAGCTGCTAAAGGTTAGAGGATGAGAGATGTCTTTTTAACTGTATAACTCCTGTTGGCATATAGTCACGCTGAGAACAGTAAAGCATAAGTGAGGAGTAACTTACTGAAACATATTTTCTTGGACTTCTTCTGAGCCGAGGTAGACAGGCCTGATGGGCCAGGCTGCTCATCCTCCTCATCACATATGCTCTTGCTATACTTCCTCTTCTTTTTCACTGAGTTTTCTTTCCTCACCTCTTCTTCTGAATGTTCAGTTTTTTCCTTTTCACCGTTGTCTTCCGTTTCAACTTTCTCAGGCAATTGTGTGTCAAAATGGTAAGACCCTGAAATTACATTGAAGTCCAAGAACATAATAAATATCTAATAGAGGCCAAACAACTTCTACAGGTCAATTTCAAAGTCTCAGTACATAGCATGCCCACTTGCTAACAAGGTTTTATATAGTCTAAATTACAACATATTAGCTGTTACAAGATGAGTCTTCACATAGACAGAGGTTCTCTTTGACTGGTTACAAGCCTATCAAATTATTTTTAGTCCTGCAAAGGCATTAATGCCACCACAAAACTCTCATCTTAAAGTAGATGACATATTATTCCTTTCAGATTTCTTTGGCCAATTCTTTGCTTTATCAATTAACTTGTCAGAGACACAAACATACTTATTATAAAGTCATTAAGAGCATCATGAAATAGAAATATCTTACCGTCCATGAGGCTTTTGCGCAGCATTTGCAGTTTGGGGTTGTGGCTCAGGACAGTTTCCTTGAAGGCACACTTCCAGAACAGTTTGATGTGCTCTGACTTTTTTTCCTCGAACCAGTCCAGGATATCATAAAGGCCCTTCTCTTTTTTCTTCATTCGACTCACCTTCTGCACACACAGTATCGAGAAAATTATTATTGAGCTGTTTAGCCTAGGATTCAGTAAGTAAATACCAACATACTGTCGTTTTCACAAAGTGTCTATGATAGTAGATTTAGAAAAAACTGCCCCTTTGAAAAAAGTATGATGTTTATGTTTGCCACTCCAATAATGGTGATTGGATTGATTATATGTGATTATTTAGGAGAGGGCGTTTCCTTCTCTGAATAAGCTGCTGTTTTTTGCGTCACAATGGGGACCTATATTTACGTAAGGTGGAGTACTGTGCAAAAATCGTGACCCACCTTTCATTACTTTATATTTTATTTCCAAGGAGACAGTCTTTTTTGTTTTTTTTAACCGGCCTTGATCAATAGTTTCAAAAATTATAAAGTTTTACTTTGGACATTGCCTCCTTTCTTGCCAATTTTCATTCCAGTCCTTGCATCTGACCTTTTTCAGAGGAATGCTTTTATTATTTGTTAAGCCACTTAACACTGACCCATGAATCATTCAAGCATAAAAAAATCCACCTAACTCAAGGGATGAAGCAGAGTTATGTCTGTACACAACAGAAAACTTAGCAAAGAACTCATTTTAAATTGTGCTGTGCAATATGTCCTTAAAAGATTTGACAAAACTGACCAAGTGGAAGAAAATTAAGGAAGCAGTAGGTCTAAAGAACTATCTACAGCAGATGAACCTGAAAAACTGTAGTTTGGAAAAAACATTTCAGTTAGTGGTGTTTGCAATCTTGCCAAAATTGATGGAGTTACTATGGCTTCATTTTTCAGGATGATAATGATCCCGAACACACTGTCAGTGCAGTAAAAGCGTACCTGGATAGAAAAACACACAGTGGAACACTGTTAGTCGTGGATTGGCCTCCCCAGACCCTGGACGTCAATATTATTGATCATCTTGACCGTTATACTCGGTGTATTTCCTTTTATGTTTGCACATTCAAATAAATCTACAAACTTATTTCCCATTTTCTCCGCAAAATTTGGAAAAACGACGCGTGACTTAAGACTTTTCCAGACTACAGATTTTATTTCATTTTAATCTGTTTTTAATAACTGGCTCTGGTTGTGAAAATGCCTTCTTTTTTAGTAAATAGCAGTGTGAGTTACAGGCGAATGTCAATTCGCAGTGTCTTGATGATCCGGTAAGTAAATCCCAAAAAGTTGATTCTGTTCATTCCGTGTTGCTAGTCTCAGTCAGGCAAAGGTAGGCTAAGGCTGAGAAAACCTGCAGTCAGCTGAGACTGAAGAAGTTCAGATAAACAGAATCAGCTTTTTGGGGTCAGTTCGCCGTATTTCCCTTGTTTGAAATCGACGCTTCATGTGTACCAACAACTCTGACGTAATCATGTATCACTTCCGCTGTTCACTTCCCGCTCTCTCATTAACGTCCTATTCAAATAGCACTCGCCTGAAATGACTGTAACGAGGTTGATAACAAATGCGTAACCTTTCCACTTGAGCTCCTCACCTTGAAACGGTCTTCCGAGATCAGGTTGTAATCCTTGAGCTTGCAGAGGAAGATGACCGGGCTTTCCATGCAAGAAATTTCTGTTTTATTGCAGTGTAAAAAGCGCAGCATTTCCTCCAACTCCAGGAAATCCAGCGGATCCATCGATGGTCTGTTCTCCCTACTCTTCTACAAAACTGTGCCAGTTCCCAAGAGATCGCACTCACTTATCACCCCGATGTGATATTAGAGCTGCAGCACAGAAATAAAGCGCTGCATTCGTGGACCTTGTGCCGTTTAACAGGTAACAATAAACTCCTCACAGGTCTCGTCACCCTGCTCCACCGTTTACATGCGCGCACAGTGAAACTCAATCCAAGTTTATGTAAAACAAAAAATCACAATGTTGAGTAGATGCAGACATAAGCGGAAGTTTTCCCTCTACGGGTCAAAGTGTCTGATCTGGGAAATACTGGTTTCTCGGTTCCTCCTCTCAGTGACGTTTGGAAAGTGAAACCTTTTTCTAGCGCTCTTCTGTCGGCTCACCAAAAACTGCAGACCGTGCGCATTTCTGAGATTTATTATCCCCCCTTTAAATTATAGCCATGCTTATTTTTAAAGTAGACCCGAGACTAACAGTCTGTGGGCGAAACAAATCAAACTCATTCCTGAGCGTCTGACACGAAGAGACAAAAGGGGGATTCATTAAGGTCGCCCACAGTGAGTAACAGTGCGAAATTCAACAGCCTCTTTGATAAAACAATGAGCATTCATGTCGTGGTTGGAAACAGCTCGGCCCAAATATTTTCAGTGCTTTCTGCGCTATGCGCGCTCCCGCTTGGGGCATTATTTCAGCAGGGAGACAGAAATGAGTATAACGTCATAGAGATATGTCACATTTTTTCTTTTCCAGTAACAACAACATAAAATAAATCAATAATTTCATAGTTGGTTTGTATTTGTATATGAAAATAATTCCTGCATGTATAACTTTAGTTTTTGTGATTATTGATACACAAGCACTTCAAAGAATAACGTTTTTTGTTTTGTTTTGTTTTGTTTTTTTGTCAAGTGAGTCAACACGAGAAAACGAGTACAAGCTGGTTGATAATCCCTTTGGAGATATAGGAACAGGTTTTCACAGTGCTTGGACAAAGCTAACCACAGCATGACCACAGCACTCAGCTCTATTTGTTTATGAAGTAATTCAAGTCTTTTAGTTTTGTAAATATTTCTGCCTAATGAGATAAACGCCAGCTTATCAATAGCAGGCACTGATTGAATTAATGTTTTTATTTTTTCACAGCCTGGTGGCACGGTGGTTAGCACTGTTGCCGCACAGCAAGAACAAGAAGGTCCTGAGTTCAATTCCACCATCAGGCCGGGGTCTTTCTGTGTGGAGTTTGCATGTTCTCCCCGTGTTTGCGTGGGTTCCCTCCGGGTACTCCGGCTTCCTCCCACTGTCCAAAGACATGCAACTTGTGGGGATAGGTTAATTGGATAATCCAAATTCAAATTTTATTTGTCACACACACACAACCATACACAGTATGACATGGGGGTGAAATGCTTGTAGCTGTACAATGCCCGACCATTAAATGACAGAAGAAAAGTTTTACAATATTTACAATTTACAGTTTCCTAAAAAAATTTACAAATTAACTTAGGAATTTACAGTAAAGAATGTGCAAATAGCAGAAGAGATTATAAAGATAAGGATTATAAATTATAGGAATTATAGGAAATGTGTGGTGGTGCGTGTGGTGACGTGTGTGAGAGTCCAGTCCTACACCTGGTTCAGGCCCCGAATAGCCTGGGGGAAGAAGCTCTTCCTCATTCTCTCTGTTTTGGCCAACAGTGAGAAGAGTCCATTGTTGCGATGGGAGAGGTCCATCATAATCTTCCTAGCTTTGGACTTGCACCGCTTGGTGTAGATGGACAGCAGGTCAGGGAGCTCTGATTGAATGATGCGTTCGGCCGAGCGCACCACCCTTTGCAGATCTCGTCTGTCCTGCTTGGTGCTGTTCCCAAACCAGGTGCAGATGTTTGCCGTCAGGACGCTCTCGATGGTGCAGGAGTAGAAGTTCTTGAGCACCTTCAGTGGCAGATGGAAGTCTCTAAGTCTTCTGAGGAAGAAGAGACGCTGACGGGCTTTCTTAACCAGGGTGTTGATGTGACAGGACCTTGTCACTAGGTGTGAATGTGCGAGTGAATGTGAGTGCGAATGGTTGTCTGTCCCTGTGTGTTGGCCCTGCGACAGACTGGTGACCTGTCCAGGGTGTACCCTGCCTCTTGCCCTATGACAGCTGGGATAGGCTCCCGCGACCCTGAAAATGGGAAGCGGAAGCGAATGGATGGATGGATTTTTTCACGGTGTGGTTGGCGTTTTGATTAAGAATACATGTCCTCTTTCATACTGATGCTTTTTAGGGGTTTTAATTTATATGTCTGGTGTTTGTTCCCTAGAGTGTCGACCATCTGCTCTTGTACCTCATGATAAACTCTCTGTCACACCTCTCCATGTTGTCACCTTTTGTCATTGTCTTCATAAACACCTACATGCGAACCACTGCATACCTTCCCAGACTCACTTATTGTGTCGCCCAAAGCAAACATACAAATATCCGAATGTGCAGGTCATTTACTTTTTATGTTGATGTCATAACAAGAAAATAGATGAGATACTAATTATGCTATAGTCTATAGTGTGTTCCTCTTGAGCGACATTGCACATGTGTCTGTAATATTCAATCTAACTCATTTGCAAAGTTGAAATAAATAATTTGATGAAAAATATGACATTAATAATCTAAACAGAGATTTAGAGATCAGCTGTAACGTACACTCAACCATAGAATACAGGCCTAATATTAATATTCGGCTATGCAAACACTTTTAACACCAAACGGTTAAAATAAAAATATAACTGACATGTGCACTAAATGCACAGAGGCTAAAGGAGCAGTTTCATTATGTTTGAGAGTGCAGAGCAATGAAGAGATCACAGCGATGCTAGAAAATGATTTCAAAAGAAATTCCATAGAACTCCAAAGTTATTGGTTCTTATATCCAGAAAAACTTAATTGTGTGTAATAAAAATAAGCAAACATTATTATTCCTCATTACTTAAGCATTGTTTTGGGAGGGGAAAACACCCCATTGGATAGAAAGTTGTACGCTGGAGAAGAAAAATGGTGTCAGACCTTAAAGAATGAATAATGTCTACAATGAGATGGTTTGAGGACTCCTTTATTTAAAACTTTGTAAAAGACATAGATATTAAAAAAAAACAAACTTTAAGTAAACATCAAGTGTGTAGTTTGCTGCATGTTTTGTTTTGTTTTTTTCATGTAAATTTGAACATTTTGATTTGTGTATTTGTATTTTTGCATATGTTTGTTGGTTTGATGTTTTGTTGTAGTTTGTCAAAAATATGAAAAAGAGTATTGGTAAGGTAACAGTGGGACAATAATCTATATGTCAGGTGTAATTGAATGTTTTTCTATATTCAGTCAGGCTGTAACAGCTGATCGTGGTCCTTGATCGTGTCCCTCTATGTCATTGTAAATGACGTCATCATGCTTTTCCTGACACGTCTGCACTACTTGCAGAACTTTTGCAAGGCGCCGGTCCAACGCGGACAGATGTGGTTCTGAGAGGAGAGGGGCCACTCGTGACAAAGGATCCTGAGTCAGCGATTCCCGCATGATGTCGCTCAGTCGGAAATCAGGAAGAGACAGCAGACGCAAGCGGAGGAAGGTGGAGCGACGGATCCTGTGGAGATAAGTCGTGTAAGGGGATCGAGAAGATTTTGGAAAAGGAAAAAAGAAACTGGGAAAGAAATATATTTAAACTAAAGCATGTAATTTTAAAATCTTTTAACCATATGCACCATATCGTTTCCACCTTTGGTCGTCTTTTGATAATTTATTAATAAAAGAAGTAGTTTGATGCTATGTTGTGGGATCATGTAATATTATTTACACCTCTGCTGACTCAGGTACAAATCCTGTTCCCAAACAATATGTTGTTTTAACCTTTTAGCCGTGTTACACTGAGATTATGTAAATGTATTCTAACAAACTAGATAAAATGAACACTTGCTAATGTAATGTTAATTGCCCACTTACCATTTAATAGCTTGATTACCCATAGAGCTACAGCAGCTAACATTATTACTGTGGTCAAAGCAATCACATTAAAATTCCTTTATGAGTTTTTTGAATGTTGTTGTAGTATTTCTGTATAAAACAGCTTGGGAAATGCCATAAACAACTATGAGATTTTACCATGAATATCACATCTTAAAGGCCTTGTAGGAATTTAATACAAATATAGGGTGTACGTATGTTTGGCAGCTAAAGTCACAGCCATAACAGCAGACAAAGCCTCAGAAACAGAAGCTGCTGCTTTAAGCTCGCAGCCTCTGAGTGCTGTACACCTGCTTTCATTTCAAGGTGGGTCTCCAACATTAACAGCCCATAGTTTCATTACACAATACTCTTCCACTGCATGATATCTTGTGGCCAGAAAATACGTTTTAGCATAATCTCATCATGCCAAAGTGACCTTTGACCTCTGCATTGTCATCTTCTTCTATTAAACATTCATGAGGCACATTTTGTGACGTTACAGGCTTGAAGAATTTCCTTAAGCTGAGGCGTAAAGGACATATTAGATTGATGAGAATTTGACGTATGAGAGGTTGACTCATAATAACTTTACCTTTGGGGACCAAAATCCAATCATGTCATCTTAAATTTGAAAATAGTCGCTCAAGCTGTTTCTGAGGTATCGAGATCATGAGAATGGTGTGATGTGAGGATAATATAAATCCATCAGGCAACAAGTGGCATTAGCTTAGTTGTTTTTAGATATCTTAATGCAGAAATGTTACTAATTTGATGCACTTCTTCGCTAGAGTTGAGAATTTCTATCACACCTTGTGGGTTTATACACATTTGAAAACTTGACACTGACTCTTTTCTTACACCTGTCCCCCCGTCCATCATTTTTCAGCGCACAGATCAGTAAGCACACATCTTTTTTCTTGTTTTACCTGCAACACTGCCGCAATGGAGCTAGAATGGATGGCTCATCTTGAGAGTGACGCCCAAACCTAAAAAAACAAAAAACAGGATCAAAAACATTTAATGACGAAAAACTAACCTGACACCTGAGGAAGAAATCAAGTGTAACACGAGATAAGAAGGATCAAAGTTTTGGTACTCACGCCCGTCCATTATCAAGGTGCAGAAGAAAAGTGTTGTTGCCAAATTGCTCAAACGTCTCATAGTGATGTCTGTCCATGTTGCCTTCAGATGGAAAACAATCAAATATCATTTAAGGTTCATGACACTGTTAAAAATATTCTTTAAAAAGCTCTTAATGCAACTGTAGGGAGCATCACACTGCTACTTTACTGATTCAGTTTGTTAAAATTCCTTAGGAAAAAAAGAAAATAAGGAGCGTTATACAGATGAGTGACTCCTATCAACCAACAAACAAATGGGCCTAACTGACTCATGAGGAAGTCCAGGACAGCCATATCTATGAGATCCACCAGTCTGGTTCCTTGATTGTAAGGAGGTGTCTGCTTCACTGTATCACAGTAAGCTGGGTCTTTTTCCCACCTGGGAACAAAAGAACAGAGACACTCAGACAGACAAAGGAAAACAGATCATGGCCTCCCTGTTAACAGTTTTTATTGCTTCCCTTCACATTTTTCTGCTTTTGGGGTTCGAGTTAGTGCAGTTCACCTTTGCTGTCACCTCATTTTGTAGTTTAGGTTAACTCAGATGTTTGAATTCAAAACTTTATCATTAAAAAGAATGCAGATTCTGGATATAGTGCCTATTTGTTTTAAGATTGTTTACATCTTGCAAGTCTTTACAGATACCACTAGAGGGCGGCAAACACCCACGATTCTCTAAACGCTTTAGACCAGGAACGTCAAACTCGTTTAACATCATGGGCCACATACAGCCCACTTTGATCTTAAGTAAGCTGGACCAGTGAAACTCCCCAGTGCAAAGTAGCTTAACTGCACATTTAATCCCTGAGACATCTCAATATAAGAAAAAGAAGTGCAATGTCTCAGTATTTCTACGTGATAAAGAAATGCTGCTGCTGCCGTTAATGAAAGAAACAAGTCAGCACAACTCTTTGGGCCGAAATTGTAAAAAAAAAAAAAAAAGTGTAAAATTCAACAACATTCTGGTAACTAATCGGCCAGACTGTCCTGTAATTATAAAGTGGACAGATTTGTTAATTAACAGAAAATGTCAATTTTTTTTTTACTTTTATTTTTGTTTTTTAATGTGGTTACATTGGGAAAAAAAATTCTATAGCAATAGTGAAAAAACAGTAACTTTCTTCTCATGTTTCTTAACTTTTTTATCTGTTACATTATTTTTGTAGTATGAGATGTTTATCAGCAGGACAAGCTATAAAATTTATGAAAATACCATTAAAAGTCCAAAATGTTTGCAGGGCCAGTTCTGGCCCAAGGGCCTTATGTTTCACACCCTTGGTCTAAATCTAGATCTTTATTTACACTCTATGCACACACTTATCAAAAGTTCCATCAGAGCTGCTTAATAGACAGTATTTTACTAATACCTAAAATACACGCAGGAACTGTTTCTATTATCTTGTACTGGCTGTATTAGATTGTAAGCAATATTACTACAGGGTTAGTAATCATCCTTCTATTGAGCTGGGGTTCAGATTGTTTAAAAGAAAGACACTGTGATCATTAGAAGTGACTCATTAACAAAGCATTCCAATATTTTTACCTTTAAAAAGAAAAACCATTAACAGACGACATCCAACGAAACTCCTAGACTCCTAAAAGTCTTGTTTCAAAACAGGCCACTCAATATAATGTTATCAGTCCATCCATCCATCCCCATTTAAACAATTCAGGGTCGTGGGGGGACTGGATGCTAGCCCAGCTGCAATAAGGTGAGAGGTGGTGTACGCCCACAGAGAGACAGACAGCCTTTCTCACATTCACAGCTATGGACAATTTACAATCACCAATTAACCTAATATCACTAAATATATAATTCCATTCAGGCAGTTTCCCACTCACAGTTAGGACGTTTCTAAACATGTACTCTGTTCAGTTGTATTACACTACATTCTGTATGTTAGTCAGACTGAGGTATGATCAGTGAACCCACTGTGCAAGCTTGGTGCGGCTGTAAGATCGCCTCCATGGGGACCTCCAGGACCTGCGAGGGGCAATGGTGAGGTCAGGCAGCATGGTAGCCAGGGAAACCTCCAGCATATGTGGCTGACCGCACACCGGGTGCTCCACTGAGCAGTAGTATTCACACTGCCCATAGAAACACACGTTCCCAGCTAGAGAGACAGCCATACATTAAAAATAAAGATTTTAGCAGAATTCAGTCCAATAGTTCGTTTTTGTTAAATAAACTGAGTGCTGGCGTGAGCCAACACTTACCCACATGCACCTGCACACATACCAGGGGAAGTGAAGAAGGTCTTAGACAGCCTGCGGTCGGTGGTAATCTCTTTGATCTCTGTGGTAACATTGATGAGCCGTCCAACCACTGGAGGGATTCTGTTAAAGCCCAGCAATCTGAGAAGGAGGAAGATACAGAGCGAGATGAAGAGATGGAGCGAGTACAAAGAAAATACATTTAAAAAGGGAACACAATGTGTCAACAAGAGCACAGGAAGTGTTTTCTTTTTTTAATCTTTATTTGTGTGCAGCATTAACGTCCTGTTTACTGGAACACCATCATCATATTCACGCATTGCACTGTCACACCAGAAAGCTGCCCAGTGCTACGATCCTCTGACCTCCTGGAAACTCCACATGTACACCAGGATCAAGACCTTGCTCAAGGGCACGACAGCGGGGTTAGTAACCACAGAAGAAGTGCTGCTTTTTCTCTTTACTTATCCAGCAAAGTGCAAGAATGAAACACTTGGTCAGGTTTTATTCTTCAGCTACCACTGACTGCTATTAAAACCTTTTCACACTTCTACACTCTGCGACATCTTCATGAACAAAATACTCAAGTGCCTGAAGTGTCACCTGTTGTGCGCCTGCCCTCAAGGACGCCTGCTACCTGCCGATCGGATGTGTAATGACGCGTACCTGTCAAGGTGAAAGGCAGCGATCTCGGCGTTGTGTCTTTCAAAGTCAGAGAAGTAAAAGAGGTTTACATCAGTCTCTGCATGTCTGGTTTGCCTGTGCAACAAACAAAAGCGAGCACATAAACATGCTGCTGTAAGCGCATCTTGTCATTTACTAGTCAGCATCACAAAACACAACAGGATGAATGTTTCTCAGATCGCTGCATTGCACCGGTGTCTTACTTCATGGGTTTGAGCAGAGCTTGTCCATAATTTGGGAACGATATGAGCAGTTTCAGTTGGGTGCCTCCTTTCTTTTGAACTAAAAGATACAAAGAGGGTAGATATCGGGAGCACAGCAATAATACAAAGGCACATCATTGCTTACACAAGCACTCTTTATCATATTGATCAGCCACTGATAAGAAACGCATCACAGAGATGCATACAATTTAGATTCACTGCAGTGCATTACATCAGTTCCTCCACATGGTGGCCTGTTTTATAGTCAGAGCACCAACTGCCACCTCCATTTTGAGCATTACTCCAACAAAACATGTATAAAATCGATTTATCTTAGTGCTGAGGCCCAATATTATGCATCATTATTTTTAATACTAATGCTTATGTTATTCTTGTAAAGCCTTTGCATATTTATGATACCTTAAAATATTCCCTGCTGCTTCTAAACAAGCAGATTAGAGTATCATTTACATGCTTTGCCAGTAACGTCACCCCGTTTTACCTTCACAGAGGTCTGCATCGGACGGTTTAGATTTTTTTTTCTCCCCCATTCTTTCATCCCATCAAACCTGACCCACTTTATCCACACTTCAGACAACTG